GATAGATAGATAGATAGATAGATAGATAGATAGATAGATAGATAGATAGATAGATAGATAGATAGAGAGAGAGAGAGAGAGAGAGAGAGAGAGAGAGAGAGAGAGAGAGAGAGAGAGAGAGAGAGAGAGAGAGAGATGGAGTCGCTTGACAGTCAGAGGAGGCTTTTGTCATTTCTAACCACGGTGGATCTCGGGGCGTGTCAAATGAGGCAAAAGCCGGTTGGTAATTGTTTATGGTCAGTTGTCTGTATACCTGGAGAGAGGCTAACAACATACACACAAGGCGGCACTACGGGAGAGAGTGAGAGGGAGATAGAGTGAGAGAGAGTGAGAGTCAGAGAGAGTGAGAATGAGAGAAAGAGAGAAAGAGAGAGAGAGAGAGGGTTAGAGAGAGTTACCATGATGAGAGTCAGGTTCGAACGAACGAAAGAGAAATTGGCGGCGAAGGGATGAATTTAAAAAAGCAAAGAAAAATTGCGCCACAGAGATTGGAGAGAGAAGGTGGGCGACTGCCTACTTGAGCAGTTATTGCTATAAGTGTTATTGTGATAGGCGGAAAGGGGCTCTCTGGACAACTGTCAACGCCTAGTGGTTCTACATAGGGTCGATCATTGCTAGCTCAGTTGGCTTTACCCTGGCGCAACTGCTTGGCTTCTGCATCATCAACCCGAAGAGAGAGAGAGCTACCCTCACTCTTCGCTCTCTACATAAGCTTCCTCTCATGCTGACCAACTGGAGTGTGGAATTTGCTCTAGTCAGTTTCTACATGGATTTATTCTCTCTTCCCCTCTCCTTTTAAATTCTCTCGCATCTCTCTCGTCTCCTGCTAGTGCCTTCGTACCAGGCATTCCCATGCATCCTTATCCCCTCCCRCGTYCGCAACACCACCCCAAGATTACGCACAGAAGGAGGAGGCTCYCCCTCCGGGACCCTASCTTTCCTCACCATTCACTTAGATTTAATTTAGCCAGTCYTGTCCCCTCTTTGTGGAACTGCAATCACGTCACAAGAGGGGTCTGTAAGCARGGGAGAAAAAYGAGGGAAAGGAATTACAAAAGGGAAAGAACTAGGATGGAAGGAAGCGAGGTTAACGAGGGACGGGAACAACAAAGGAAGGAGGAATCAAAGAGGGAAATCGACCCTAGGGCTTCCCCGAAAGGGACGGGTGGATGACGAAGGAAAGGGAGAATAAAAGTCGAAGCACTGAAGTATCGCGAGAGAGGATCGAGGATTGCAGACAAGCTTCACACACTATGGCGACTAGCAAAAGCACAAAAACAGGGCACAAACATCAAAGGGCACACAAAAGACTAGACTCTACCCTGTTATATCGAGGGGTCATGCGGCAGCATGCGGCCAAGAGCCTGACTGAAAATAAACAGAGGGCAATGGATAATGCCAATGGGGAGCTGACCACCCCCGCCGCCCAGCAGGCAAGGGGGACCGAAGACACTCATTTCTCCACCTCCCCCCCCCCCTTTCCAGGGCCACTCGATTACACAAACCACACGCTGACCAATCGATCACGGTGTAAAGAAATACTGAGGAAGGGGAAGGGCAAGAGTGGAAGATCCCCCTGGAGAGCCTCTCGACTGCGGGTGCTTTTTTTCTGACCAGACTCCTGACCCCATCCAAACCCAAGGTAATCAACCTGAAAGGGAAATCCGCGCTGATCAACAACATAAAAATTGTGGCAAATTTTATGGCAGGATGATCACATGTGGACCCCTTTTTTGAACCGTTGGAAATGTGTTAATAAACTGTTTGGCGGGGGGGGTATCATGTGTTCCACCAGAAGTGAAGGAATTCAACGCCGACCAAAGATTTCGTAAACAGAAAATAGTGTGTACAATTGTTGAAAAGTTGTTGAAAAGTTGTTGAAAACTTGTTTACCAATTGTTGATCCATTTGTTGAAAAGTTGTTTAAAAGTTGGTCCATTTGTTAAAAAGTTGTTGCAAACTTGTTTACCAGTTGTTGAACATTGCATTTTTTGTTGGGGAAAAAAATTAAAATTTGAGCTCGTGTCGTACGTTTTTGCGGTTTCGTCCCAGTACGGGGGCCAACTTCTCCACCTTTTTCTCCTACTGCACGAAACACTATGCTCTTTCACATTTATCAATCTTTGAGTCTTCTAGTACTCCTGACATGCAATACACACTGAATGAAGAAAATAAGAGAGAGGGTAAACAGAGAGAGAGAGAGAGAGAGAGAGAGAGAGAGAGAGAGAGAGAGGGAAAAATATGGTGGCGGGGGGCAATGCTACAAGCACGGTTTACTATTGCGTGACACAGTTTCTCCAACATGACAGTCCGTGAGAGAGAGTGGCACGCAGTAACCAACCTTTCTTTTGAGTCTTCTGGATTGCGGTATTTCATTCTACGGATGGACGCATGTAGTAGCCTCAATCATATGTTGAGCTGACTTGGTACAAGCAGGGTTCACTACTGCGTGACATAATTTCGCCAATATGTCAGTCCGAGAGAACGAGTGGCACGTAGTAGCCAATCTTTCTTTTTTCCTCAGCGAATGGATGACGGTATTTCATTCCACGGATGGACGCATGCCGGAGCCTCAATCATACGCTGAGCTGCCCTGGTACGAGCACGGTTCACTACTGTGTGACACAAATTCGCCAACATGTCATGCCAAGAGAGAGAGTGACACGCACTAGCCAACCTTGCATTGACGACAACCAATAACATTTGCAGGCTGTGGGTGATGTTTGTCAACCACATCTTGTCATGTTTTTAGTGTGGGTAGTTGTATTTACGGTCACTGAGCCAGGTCACGGGTTGCAACGATCTTTGTCTTCTCATTGGTCTCCTATTTGCCTCTGCAAACTGTGATGTCTTTATACATCATGGTATTACACATTACATAGTCGCTCACTCTTGAATTAGATAATGATGAGCATTACAAGGGATTGTAAAATGTTGTAAAATAAATAAGAGAGCAAATGTTGTACAGTGATTGTTTGAGTGCCGTGGTGCACATTCATTATCTCCGTTTGTCTCTCTCTCTCTCTCTCTCTCTCTCTCTCTCTCTCTCTCTCTCTCTCTCTCTCTCCAAAGCATGCAATGACAGTGATCTCCTGCAACTCTTGCTGGCAGATTTCGTTATGAACCTTCTGGTTCACACAAATGTGTTTCCCTCCCTTCTCCCGCCCACTGTTCAAGGCCTGGGACACAGACTTTCTCTATCCCTCTCCCCGTCTTTGCGTCTCTCACGAGGTGGTGCAATGAACTCCAAGCTTAAATCGTCATCTGTTATCGTTATGTTATGTGGCCCGCTCCTGTGGACAGAGGGCAGGCCAACTCGAGATAAGGCAACGGCCTTCTCAGAAACAGATGCAGCGCGGTCCAACTTGAAGATCGAAAAGCTCATGACTGTGTCGCGGCTGTGGACAGATGATGCGATGTCGTGCTTTATACATGTCAATTTTTGTATCTGGTCGGCCGCTCTATTGGTCTTTGCTGTCTTCTCGATTTCACATTGCAGAACCATTTCTGTAAAAGTCAGTTGCTGCAGCATCACGCCAAGGTTCGTGTCGTCCCTCCTCATCTGGAAAACCTTTGTGAGTGTCGTGTTGAACGCTGGTGCGCCCCAAGAATCGTCGCCGCTCCGTCTCCATGTTTTGTCGTCCTTCATCTCTGCTCGCATCTGGTTGCGAGTAGGGAGCTGGTGATCCGTTTGCTGCGTCCTTCATCTCTGCGTGCAGAACCTTTTTCTGTACAAAACCAATGCTTCAGTTGCCATGTTATTTCTCCACGCACTGTTGTCATCATTCTGTTGCACTCCCCTATCACCGCTCGAATCCAGCTCTCCGCTACGTGTGATCGCAGTCCTTCCTCCGCATTCTCCTTTATTAGTTTTGCTGTTGTTTGTATCGCCGTGAAAAATCCGTCCTCTGTTGGGTACAATGTTGCGTCCTTCGCTGCAGAAAACGCAAAGGCTTTTGCGATTGAACGAAACAGTATGTCCTTCATTTTCTTCGTGAAAACGCCGTTTTGTTGGTCGGCTTGTCTCTGTCCTTCTCCGGTCGCGTGTGGTTCTCTTTGCAAATTTGGGCCATCTATTGGAAGACACACATCAGAACGCGAAAATAATATTAAAAACTTCAAATATCGCATCCAATTTCGTACCTGTGAAAATCAACAATTCAGTGAACAAAGCACAATAACTTCCTCGCATCATGGATATACCAGCATATTCCGCTCTTATGACTGCGACTTTCTGCAAGGGGAACAACTCTAGCACACTTTGCTTACCTTCTTGAATTTCGTTGTCCTTCTTCACTAGTTGTCTGTCATTCGGGGGCGTGTCGCATGCGTTTCTCTCCTTTATCTACAATCGTTCGCTTGCGCATTTCGTTCTTTCCAGAGATGGTGTAATCTCTCTCTCCTACTCACCCTCCCGTCTTCATCTGCCTCCTCGTCGTCCTCATCTTGCGCTGTGCCATCGCTGCTCCTGTCTTTGTCGTCATCGGTGTCGTCAACATCATGAGAATCTCCGCCGGAAGTTTCACTGTCACTTCCTTCGTCGCTCATTGCCTCGTCTTCCTCTCCATCCGTCTTTTCTGATTTGGACTGCTCGTCTTCGTCTTCTGCTTCCTCTTGGACCACGTTGTGCAAATCGCCCGAGCCTCTGAGATCGATCGTCTCCACTATTTTGTCTTTTTTGTATGTGATTCTCTTCTTCGTCCTGTGGTCTTGCTTCGGTGTTTTCTCTTTTTGCGACCTCTTCTCTTGCGTTTTTAGTGGACGGTTCTCGATGTCGCTGGCTCGGTTCCTCCCGACGGGAGTTGCTGGGGGTGTTTCGTTGCGTTATTTCAGCTTTGAAATCTCTCTGTGTCGTGATGGAAGAGAAAGAAGTGGTCCGTTTCTACGGCCATGCGTCTGCTTCGTTTTCGCTTTCTCGCAGCAGCTTCTGCGATGCTCTCTCCTGTTTTTTTTCTTATCAGCCTTGGATTTTTTCCTCCCCTTATCATTTTTTTCCACGACCTTCAAAGACCTGCACAGATCCTCATATTTTGGCCTTGGAGCCATGACCCTTTTTTCACCACATACATCAAATTAGATACAATAACAACTGCGTCAGCTATGTCGTGGGTCAGATCATACACCCCTGACCCCCGAATTGGCTACGGAGAGAGAGAGAGAGATAGAGAGAGAGAGAGAGAGAGNACAAACTTGGGACCTCGCGTCGTTCGGGAAGGAGCGACACTGGCCACTGAATAAGACGGTGTAGGCAAGAGAAGTCGAGTGAGCATGACAGAGTCACAGAAAAGCAACACGGGTGGTGGCGGCAAGAAGTGTTCGTATGTAGGTACAGAAACGTCGACCAGTCCTAGGACAAAAAATAACGATGAACAGTCATACAGAGAGGTCGCAAGCGAACCGTTGTTGCCATAGAGCAGTGAGAGGTCGGTGAAGAGGTGGAAGAAAATGTTGAAGGACCACTGGTACGAGGAAATGTACGATATGATGACGGAGGGTGAAGTAAAGTCTCCCCCACTGATGGTTGAAGAGTCATCTGGTATTAAAGGAAAGGCGAACGTTGAGGACATGACCAGAAGGAGAGAAGAGAAGACAGACATTAATGATGAGGACGAATTATTCCCTTTCACGTGGAAATCAAGGAGACATGCCATAACCGTAACAAAATCCGACGTTGCACGATTGGCTGACAATGAATGGCTGAACGATAACATTATCAACATTTTTTTGCAGTCCGTGTATGAAGAACACTCGCCGACCCAGGACATCCTCACAGTCCATGTATGTACAACTTTCTGGCACCCCCGGATCATTGGTAATCAAAAAGTGCATTTGACGAAAAGTGGATGGGAAGACGCGATCAAGAATAGACCACGGAAGTTGCATCGACTAAGTAATGAATAGCGACGCACGACAACTATTGTAATACCTGTGAACCATAGCAAACATTGGGTTTTGCTTCTGTTGCTGAATGTGAGAAACTTTTTGGCAGTCAATGAGGACACCAATGTCGGCGAACCTCCTACTGCCATCGTTGTTGACTCCTTCAAAGAGAAGAAACGAGAGGAATGGGAGGTCTTGCGAACATTTCAGTGGCACGAGTACCCCTACGAGGCATCCAACGCGAGGGTGTTGACTCCGGAAAAGGTTGATACATCCTAGGTGACATGTAGAAATCTACTAGGATGTAAACTGTTGCATGCGGAATACCCTCAGCAGAACAATTTGACGGACTGTGGTGTTTATGTATGTCGCATCACTGCCATAATAATATAATTTCTTGCAGGAACCGCGCCAACGGATGTAAGAGTTAAGGACACACTTGAAGTTGTTCATAGAACAGAGGTGAACGAAAGAACTGTTCACCAATTTCGTCAGTCCATGGTGGACCGGCTAGCATGTTGTGCTGCAGTTGCAAAAGGTCACGGCACAGTCGCGGCGTCACACATAGCGAAAACGTTAAGAGGCCTCATAAATAGAAGACATAGCAATACTTCGTAAGGCATGAATTGTCGTTCCGAGTGTAAAAGGAAAATGTCGAAGGAAAGTTCACTACTGCGTGCAATTTTAACACAAAGACCGATCGCTTGACCAGTTGATTGGCACGCAGTAGCCAACCTTCTCGCAAAGACAGTCAGGGAGGTAACTTCCAAGGATTTGTTGCTGATGATCTTTATTTTATTTTATTTTCTTTTAATGACTATGCGAATCCGTGCCGCCTGACAATACAGATAGACTCCAAGAACGAGCAAAGAGGTTGGTGACTTAAATGACGTTGCAGTATCAATAATAAGATAATGGTCTCTCTTGACACTTTCCTTTTACACTCGGAACGACAATTCATGCCTTACGAAGTACTGCTCTGTTTTCTATTTATGAGGCCTCTTAACGTTTTGCAATTGTGTCGTGACCTTTTGCAACTGCAGCACAACATGCTAGCCGGTCCACCATGGACTGACGAAATTGGTGAACGATGTTGGCGCGGTTCCTGCAAGAAATTATATTATTATGGCAGCGATGCGACATACATAAACACCACAGTCCGTTAAATTGTTCTGCTGCGGGCATTCCGCATGCAACAGTTTACATCCTAGTAAATCTCTACATGTCACCCAGGACGTATCAACCTTTTCCGGAGTCAACACCCTCGCGTTGGATGCCTCGTAGGGGTACTCGTGCCACAGAAATGTTCGCAATACCTTCCATTCCTCTCGTTTCTTCTCTTTGAAGGAGTCAACAACGATGGCAGTAGGAGGTTCGCCGACATTGTTGTCCTCATTGACTGCCAAAAAGTTTCTCACATTCAGCAACAGAAGCAAAACCCAATGTTTGCTATGGTTCACAGGTATTACAATAGCTATCGTGCGTCGTTATTCATTACTTAGTCGATGCAACTTCCGTGGTCTATTCTTGATCGTGTCTTCCCATCCACTTTTCGTCAAATGCACTTTTTGATTACCAATGATCCGGGGGTGCCAGAAAATTGTACATACATGGACTGTGAGGCTGTCCTGGGACGGCGAGTGTTCTTCATACACGGACTGTAAAAAAATATTGATAATGTTATCGTTCAGCCATTCATTGTCAGTCAATCGTGCAACGTCGGATTTTGTTACGGTTATGGCATGTCTCCTTGATTTCCACGTGAAAGGGAATAATTCGTCCTCATCATTAATGTCTGTCTTCTCTTCTCTCCTTCTGGTCATGTCCTCAACGTTCGCCTTTCCTTTAATACCAGATGACTCTTCAACCATCAGCGGGGGAGACTTTACTTCACCCTCCGTCATCATATCGTACATTTCCTCGTACTAATGGTCCTTCAACATTTTCTTCCACCTCTTCACCGACCTCTCACTGCTCWRTGGCAACAACGGTTCGCTTGCRACCTCTCTGTATGACTGTTCATCGTTATTTTTTRTCCTAGGACTGGTCGACGTTTCTGTACCYACATACGAACACTTCTTGCCGCCACCACCCGTGTTGCTTTTYTGKGACTCTGTCATGCTCACTCGACTTCTCTTGCCTACACCGTCTTATTCAGTGGCCAGTGTCGCTCCTTCCCGAACGACGCGAGGTCCCAAGTTTGTCTTCCTGTTCATAYRTGTCSGTCAAATTGGCATGACACACACRAATTGTTATGTTTTGGGGTACTTGCAATGGTTCGTATAAAATACTTAAAAGAGAGAGAGAGAGAGAGAGAGRGAGAGARAAAGAGAGAGAGAGAGAGTTGGCTATTGCGTGCCAAAACTGAATCGATGTCCCTGTTCACCATGTAATTGTCACGCAGTAGTGAACTTTGGAGGGGATTTATTCTCACATGTGGTTTTCACCAGTTCATAAGCTTTGCCACATTTGAGATGATTTCTCTCAACAATTGACAGAAAGAAAGAGACAAATGTCCTTTTTTGTTTCCCTGTGCTTCACAAGAAAAACGTTTCTCTCTCTCTCTCTCTCAAATACAACACCATAGTGAAACAAGACGAGTTTCTCACAAGGCGACAGATAGAGAGACATGTTATTTCTTTTTTTTGTACTGCTTTTAAGGACGCCTCTCTCTCTCTCTCTTTCTCTCTCTCTCTCTCTCTCTCTCTCTCTCTCTCTCTCTCTCTCTCCCCCTCATACCTATACCTCTCTCTCATGTGAGACCATAACGAAACAACATTCGTTTCTCACAGGGCGCGGTTTTCTACTAGCAAAGTTAGAAACTTATCATTTGTTTCTTCTACAATACATGTTCACATAAAAACTGTCCTCATGTTGTTTTGCATGCTGCTTCGATCCCCATTCTAGTTTAGAGAAACATGGAACAATGTGAACCGTGTCTACAATAGTGTCATTCGATATGACGCTACTGTGTTGATGTCCATTCAACTTCTCTCATTTCAATTTCTTGCAACCTGTTATGTGTTGCCTTCCAGTGTCGACCTCCTTGTAGCATTGAACAAATCCGCACCTGTGTTCAACATTACCGCTATCCGTGGATGTGTTCACGACAAAAACATGGCCACAAATGCAAACCATGTGCATTCATTGCCTGCTCTGATTACCACATCACTATGCACTGCTCGCCCATGAAACTCTGGTGAAGCTCTTGCAGTTGGAACAAGCGTGCTCCTGTTTGTTTCATCCGGTACGCAGGCGATGGCGATGTGTGTCCGTCTGTGTATGAGCAGTTGGTCAGAAGGAGGTTGACAACCATTCTCCACCATGTATGTCGTCAGCGCAACTCGAAAATTAAGTCTGCAAGGAAGCTCTTTGAGTATCTTACACGCAAGGTTGTCAATGCCTTCTTCCTCCTGTATGTACTTGTCATCGATGTCAAACCACCGCAGTTGCAGAGTTGCTGTATCGTGTAGTGCCAGGGTGTTCATTCCGGTCGCCATATAGTCTGTCACGAACGACCAGTTCTCAACCGTTTTCTTCCTTCGTTTCCTTACCATCTCTGTCTCTTCGCGCAATGCTAGTGACCGACGTATATGGTTCACCATCTGGGTTGAAGCTTTCCGCTTGTTTGATGACAGGTATGGTTGTTTGCAAAACTTCCTGTGGTAATGCTCTCAGACATCTGCCGCGAAGGTGTCGGGGAAATCGGATCGCTCAATGCACGTTCTCAGATGCATGAGATCGTGCAATTTGGGGAGTTTCCATGTTGATGGTTGATATTTTCCTAGTTTTGCTTTAATGATCGTTATGAAGTTCGTGATCAAAACATCGCATTCATCGAGCGAAGCACGAGTGTGTGTTGTGCACCGAAACACACGTATGTACATTTCCATTAGTTTCACAAAACAAATAATAATGCCCTTGCCTGTTGAGCGTGGGATAATATTAAAAAATGAGGAACACGCACACTGTCATCATAGACCGGTTTTGCTTGGCCTCAAACCGTCCCTCCCTCGAAAAAAAGTCGCTGCCAGTGGCCACGGGCAGCACAAGTTGTGAGTATGTTCGGGAGCATCTCTCACTAACGCTTTGCAACCTTGCATCCAGTTCCTTCAGGATCTCTGTGTGTGGTAAGTGTGTCAGTTTCTCAAAGGCTACGGTCCTGAATGTGTCAATCATGTGCAAGAATATGCCATGTTCGATTGTGTGCATACGGTCTGGTTCCAATGCCAGGTGGTAGTCTAGATGAGGATCATCACCATTGGGGCTCCTATAGAATCCCCAAAGGCCGTTTTGTTGAACATGCTTATGCATGTTCAACTCTGACATTCGTGCTTCAGCCGCACGGCGAATGTCGATGTCATCGACGTTGAACACATCTGCTGTGAGTTGTGTTTCCAGTGTCTGTGATCTCTTGCAGTTCGTGAAATCGGCCACGACATTAAAATCGTTTTTTGACACGGTGCACGTTGGACACACACCAAATTTCAGAGTTGCAATCGCACATCTTTTTGGGTAGTCTTGTATATAGTTGAGGAGGAAAGGGTGGACAGTTATGTCCCCGAATCGCTCTGTCGGTATCATTATGCCATCATGAGATGCCTCCTTCGTAGACTGCAACACCACTGCAAAGGCCTTGTGCAAAACGACGCCCTTTCGTTTTCTGAATTTGCTGGACTGCAGTCCCCATCCTTTGTCACGTGAACGATGATGAAGCACAGGAAGATGGGCCAGCAGTGTGGCTTCGGATGCGTGGTCGGCCAGTGACATCATCAGAGGGTACGCTGTCTGTTTTTTACGACCGTCTATATGTGTCTTATTGGAATACAATGAGAGAGGGATAACATAACGTGGATTACCATTCCTATCTACACCTTTGTCCGCTCTAATGATTGTCTGGACGTGATAACTTAGCACCCCGGTACGCGGGCCGGATATATTGAGGTGCTCTGACGGAGGAGACGTTTCCAGAGAAGACACCGTTTCGCATTTCTGTATTGCGATTTGCAAAATCGACAGAAATGTCGTTCGCCAATCGCGGTGCCACAAGATGGCGTGCGCATGTAGTGACCAATCATCACATCGTAGATCAAACTCTTGTCATCCAGCAACCTCTACTTGACTCCCTGCCCATGTCAAACACTCTTGACTATTACGATATGCGATGTCTCTCGTGTTGAATCTCGGGTGTGTGAGAAGTGACAAGAGAGCATCAATGTCATTCTGCGACATACCGACGCCACCCCTGGGAAAGAAAATCAGTGCCGCCAGCTTGCGAGAGCTGTCGAAATACTCTACAGACGGCGGTTGCTGTTCTTAAAGTGTCCCGCCCTCCGCCTCTACATTGTCGGGGACCTCGACGTCCTCACTCTCATCACTGATGAGATTCATTCCACCTATACTTGATGGTCCGGCCTCACCGACCACACCCATCTCCTGCTCTGGTGTTCTTTCGGCCACTACGGCCGGGCATGCCCTCGCTCGATGTGATTTTAAAGTCCGTAAAGACATGAAAGGTCTGCCACAGTCGCACACCCTTGGACCGCTGTCCATTTTGTAATAGCGTTTTCTTGATTCACCTCTTTCAAAACCGTTGGAAGTTCTTTCATCTATGACGGACGCCCTTTCGTCATGAAGCTATCGGCTTACACCCCTCACCCTGGGACACCGCTTTCTGTGCACGCAGTGCATTCCAAAAACAAACAGAGCGGTGTGGACAGTGTTTTCATTAGCATTTTTGTACATTGTTTCTGCTCGTTTCAATAGTAAGTAGCAAAGCGTATTTTGTTGTTTCGTCTCAATGTTGCACATCCTCTTATGCGAGAGAGAGAAAGAGAGGGAGTACTGAGTGCCGTTTTCGGTATAAATAGTCTGTGCGTGATAACAATTGAGAGAGATTACTAGTCAATCGTGTGACACAATAATTTATATGTCATGACATCAATGTTCGTGTGGTCAAAGGCAACGTTTGACGCATGGTACATGATACATGACAAATCATTCATCATCACGTTTG